ATTCCGGCACTAGGCAATAGGGCTACGTGAGGAGGAGGAGGAGCCGCGGTGCTTGACATGGTGGTGGAAAAGAAGTAAAGATGCCAGAATAGTAGAGTAACAATGAATCCTTAGATCTATCAGAAAAAAGAAACACTTGTGAGATCTGATCACTTTGATAGCGATGGTCCTATTTAATAGTCTTCATTTGGAAAATTAATAGGTTGTTCGCCATTGCTCAATGGCTCATATGTTTCATCAAACCTTCCCCACAAAATCCAAGGATTTAACCTTGGTTTTGTAACTATAGAGACTTTAGATGGAGAAGTTATTCCACGTTCCCGATTCATTAGTTGATCTGGAGTTCGACCAATTATAATTTGATACCTATTCTCTACCCACTCTTTAAAGAATAAAAAATAAAACATATTGGGATTTGGGGTCCATTAGTCTCTCCTTCCTCTCTTCCTTCTCCGACAAACTGAAAGAAAAAAAGAAGGATTTTGCATTTACATTATTCAAAATTATAACTCAACTATTAATTTTAAATTATACCATCTCCTTCAAAATCATATTCTAGTTGGGCATGAATAGAGAAGAATAAGACGATTGTACCAAATTTATATTTCAATTGGGCGATGAAGACAGGAGTTTCGGGTGGGTGTTCATGGTGGAGGGCATCAAGTGGGTGATCTTGGTGGTGGTTGTGGCGGACGCTTGGATGCAGCCATGACAAATGCTCATTTAATTATCTAGCTAACTGATTTAATGTATATTTTTAACTTATATTTTGTCATTTTGTATTACAGTCTAGTGATATTTCTTTTCATTTGTAAATTAGAATTTTTAAGTTCAATTTTCATAAAAAATGAATTTAAATAATATTGTTTGTTATTAAAAAAAAAAAATTATAGATCTCATTTGATATTACATAAACTTATAACGCACAGGTACTAGTTCATACAATGTCAACATTTAAAATTAAAAAAACAAACTAATTTTATCGACTCTTAGTGTGGTTTCACAGGAAAGAAGTGTCGTTTCAGGTGAATGTAATCGGGTTCTACAAATTACCCAGTGGGCCCCGGAGGTTGCTGAAACCAAGGCCCAAACCGTCGGTACCTCAAATACTTGGTGCCCAACGACGTCGTATCCATGAAGTTCTATCATCGAAACGCTAACCGAAAGGAGAAAAGAAAGCCCCTCACTCTCCGTCATCCGCCACCTTGGCGCCAAATTCACTGCAAAAAAAAATAAAAAAAATGAGCGCCTGCAAAACCCTAGTCCGTACATCTCTCTCTTCAATCACCTCCACCCTTCTAACCAATCGACCCACCGTCTCTCTCCTCCACTCCCCCTCCCTCCGCTTCTCTCCGCTTCCTCCCAGCCAAGGTACTCTCTATCTCTCTCTCTCTCGACACTCATACGCACATTTCTAACTCAATTTTGTGATTTGAATTTGAAATTAGCGCTCAGGCTTGCTCCGTACAATGTTCCTTCGCGGCCGTACGCTTCAATTTCATACGAAGCAGCCGCCGCCGATTTGACAGACGAAGCTCACTCCGCGGACTCAACCCTAGAACCGCCGGAGAACCCGACGCAGGACACCGTGGAGGAGCTTCTGAGGAAGAAAAACGACGGAGCGCGCCTGATGAAAATGGAACGCCGCCACGAGTCCACGCACCAAATCGGCGGTCGGTAGTTCCCGTATCTCGACAAGTTCAGCTGCGGTGAAGGTGCTTTTCTCTACAGCGGTGAGGTGCTTGAAGCGGTGGATCCGTACATAATGGATGTGAGGAAGGAGAAGTTTAGGAAGGTGGTGAAGAATCGGAGCTACGGTGTGTGTCTGGTGGTTGAAGGATTGGGAGACTTCGGCAATGTATCGGCGGCGTTTTGGTCTGCGGATGCGCTCGGGTTTCAGTCGGTTCATGTGGTATCCTGCGACTCCAAAAGGTGCAACGGCATTTGAGGTGAAAAGGGTCTGGTTTTGGGTTAAACTTTCGAAAAAAAACCAGAAAGAAGATTTCTTTTTTTTCTAAATTGTTTGTTGGTATGTGGTTGTTTAGTGAATTGCTAATCAGGGTTGGCTTCGTTTAATTTGTGTTAGTAAGTTTAATTGAAGTTGTTCTGTTCGTAGTTGTCGAATTAACTTTGTTAACCTCAGCTTGATCTTGTTTCAGATATAGAGACAATCGCCATGTCAGTATGGGAGCCGAGAAATGGTTGGACATTGAAATTTGGAACTCGACTGCAGAGTGCTTTGAAGTTCTGAAATCGTGAGGTTATCGAATTGCCACAACGCATTTGGGAACGGAAGCGGTAATTATGCACTTTCTTCTTCTGTATAATTTGTTTGCGTTAAAAAGATTTTCCATAGGTTTAATCTCAAGCATGTATCTGAGTTATTCTTCCATTTTGTTTTTTAATGTGTCTATATAGGACATGAATTGGCGTTGCCCAACTGCGATTGTAGTCGGAAATGAAAATAGGTATTATACGTTTTCCCTATTTAGTGATCATTACATTTTTCGATATCATCCAAGCTGGTTCTTTGTTCGGTTTTAAGCTGATACACTTGTGTGTCTCTGTGACCAATATCAAATTTTCTGATATACTTGCACCTGATGAAGAATTTAGAAATTGAACCAAGAAAAAGTTAATAACATCAAGAAAATTATATCTTAGATATGTTCTTCTTCGATATTAATTTGAACGCAATGTCTAATTTACGGGAATAAGTGATGAGGCCCTGGCTTTGTCAGATTTGCATTGCAGTATTTCAATGAAAGGCATGGTTGACTCTTTCAATGTTTCAGTCAATGTTTCAGTTGCTGCAGGCCTTCTCATGCACCATGCAGTTTGTGATAGAACATCTCGCCTGGTAACGACTATACTGCTATTCTTTCTGTACTGAATAATGCATCCGCTCATTTTATCGTTTTCTTTTTTATTTAGAAATTTACATTCACGACTGTTTAATCATCTTCATTGATTGGATTTTTATAATGGAAAAGGCATTGACAATAAATTACAGGACAATCATAAACCCTACATTGATTGCCGGCTATTGATACTGTTTTGGTGTGCAATTGAACTTCCATTTTGCATTGCATAATGTGAAGCCTGAATCAGTTCTAAACCCTCTTTTCTTCCCTTGTTTTTCTACAATCCTGTGTTGGTCCTGAAGTTGCTGGATTCTTTCTACTATGGGTCAAGACTACAGCAACATTCATGTCAAAGTTTGTATCAGGCACTAGATAATTTGCAACTCAATTTCACTGTATTTTGTGATGTTCTGTTTTTCGCAAAAGGTATGGTAATCGTACAAAGCAGTTGCGTGCTTACTTAAATTTCAAGCATTAGATGTTAATAACTGTGGCCCGTAAATATACAGGGTAGCCATGGGGATCTGACATCTGAAGAGAGCCAAATTCTACTCGTTGAATTCTCTCTGCGGCATAGCAAGAGTTCAATTAGCATTGCACGTGAGTATGTAAAGCGGAAGGCATCTCTGCTCCCATCAAAGATTTGAAAAGACCCTTTTCTGATTTCTGATAGCACGGATGATGTTAAACAAACGTGATCTCCAAATTTCTCATAAGAAAGCAATCAACAAACGGAGCAGAAGATAACAAGAATCCGCTGAAGCCAACCAAGAGGACAAAGTGGCCATGTCCGGTTGAAAGCTTACCTTGATAAACAAGCGTTATTCGGTCTAGAGAAGGCGGCATGAGAGCTTACCTTGGTAAGCAAGCGTTATTCGTGCCAAGAATAGTCTTTTCGTTTTCTGTTCTCTTGATGATTCTTTACTTTCTAGCGATAGATAGGACAGCTTGAATCAATGAAATTAATTTACCTAGTTCTTCTTCTCCGGTTATTTTTAAGGTCGGGTATTTGATAAATTGAGTTGAGCATCGGTCGTTGCTTCCTTTAGTTTTGTATTCACTAGTTGTATTCATTTCATATATATTATCTTGGAGCCAATGAAGCCGGCAACCATCAACTACTTTTTCTTTTACGTAAGAGAAATGCTAAGAAGTGTCTTCTATGGACTTTCTGTCATATCAATAACACAATATGTTATAATGTTAAGACGAGAATTAACGTTAAATTGTAATGTTGCACAATATATTATAATGTTGGCACATGAATTAATATTAAACTCTGAGATGATAAAGAGTTCATAGAGTCTTATTATGAGAGTTTGTTTAGCATTTCTCTTTACGTAAATTTTGGATGAACTAATGAATTAAATATGTTTGATCATGATTAAAAATTGTTTGATCCTAAATCTTTTGATATCATTCAAAATGCTCAAGGATTGAGATATGTAAGAGATATATTAATCGAAAAATGCTAAGATTATCTTTAAAAGAGATACCAAAAGTGCCAAATAAGATAAAAGAAAAAATTTACGCGTATCATCCAAGACGTTTGTTTTGGCAACATAGATCAAATCGTCAAATCCCCTACCATTTGAACTATAGAGTATGGTTCTCTTCTTTCTTTTTTTTTTTTCCTCCCCTTCTATTTGAACGGTCACGATTAAGTCACGTCAACATCTTATATTAATTTTTTTATAAAAAGAGAAAGAGAAAATAGAGAATGTGAGAGGAGGAGATGGGAGAAATTTTTTATTGTGACGGGAACACAAATGGTACATCACGTATTTTTATGTAAGTGGTGGGAAATTTTATTTTTTAAGTTACTAACTTTTTAACATACATATGCCATCATTTGTATAAAGATAAGTATACATCACCTCGTGTGCCGATCATACTAAAAAATCTCTCAGATGAAAAAAAAGAAAAAAGAGAATCCTAATCCTTGAATTATTTAATAAATGCCTCTCACAGTCAACCAATCACATCATGTACGCAATTTGCACAATTTTTTACAATTTTTATAACAGTAGAACTCACAATATATGTTTAAAAAAAAATTGAAGAAATTTAGTATCTACCTTCAAAATTTGACAATTTAAATTTAACATTTCTATTAAGATGCTTTAAGAAGATTTTCTCAAAATTAAAACTTTTTATGGACTCTTTGTCATTTATGTTTTTTATATAATTTATATGTTAATATTATAAAATATGTTACCAAAAGTGCGAGATGTCAGAGAATCACATTTTAAAAGTCTCATTTTTTCACAAAATTTAGTCTGTATATTTAATCTCGATTTCTTAAAAAATGAATTATTGATTTGAGCATCGGTCCGTGCTTCCTTAGTTTTGCATTGACTAGCTGTATTCATACATTATGTATTGTCTTGGAGCCCATGAAGCCAGCAGCCATCGACGACTTTGCTCTGACGTCAATTTTGGATGAACCAATGAATTAAATAGGTTTGATCATGTCACTAGGTAGTCTTAAATTATATTATATAATTAAACACTTCTTTAAAAAGCTGTTCATTTGATTTCCAAACTCCAATCCGATAATCCAATGGCAATGAAAGTCATTCAAGTTTGCAGGGTAGCTCCACAACCTGGCTCGTCGGCGGCCTCGGCCATCCCAACTCAAGGAGAGAAACTTACTTACGATGGAGATGCCGGTGTGTCAGAAACAATATTCCAAGTCAATCACGCACTGCCGGCTCAAGATTACTTGTCTCTTCCTCTAACCTTCATTGACCTCCTATGGCTAAGGTATCCTCCCTTCCATCGCCTTTTCTTCTATGACATATTGCCTTTCTCTTCCCCTGCAGATACCCTACTCTTCTTTCATTCAATAATTATTCCAAAACTCAAAACCTCTCTTTCTCTCACCCTCCAACATTTTCTGCCTCTAGCCGGAAACATCACTTGGCCCGAAAACTCTCCCAAACCCACCCTCAATTATGTCAAAGGCGACACCGTTTCCCTCACAGCAGCCGAATCTGATGCCGATTTCCACCATCTCTCAAGCAATGACTTTAACATTGATGCCAAAGAATACCACCCTCTTGTACCCCAACTGGCGAAATCTCACGAAAAAGCCGCCGTGATGGCTTTCCAAATCACCGTCTTTCCCAACAGCGGCGGCTTTTCCATTGGAATATCCATGCACCATGCAGTTGTTGACGGCAAGACTCTCTTCATGTTTCTGAAATCATGGACCCACATATGCAGACATGTTCATCAATCCGATGACGTTGTTTTGCCCGATCAGCTCAAACCATTTTACGACAGAAGGGGTATGAAAGACCCCATCTTTCTCCAACTGGAAGAGATTTACTTGAACCAGTTTCTGAACATGGACCGACAACAAAATAATCGAAGCTTGATGGTTGCAGCCCGCTATAAATCTCGAATGATATCAGATTCAACTCGAGGCAACTTCGAATTCACAAGCGCAAAGATACAAGCTTTACGGAAATGGGTCATGGGCAGGAAACAACAGGAAGGACTTGATCGATCTGTTCATTTGTCAACATTTTCTCTAACGTGCGCCTACTCATGGATTTGCTTACTAAAAGCAGAGCAAGAAGAGCAAGATGAAGTAAAAGGGGACAAAATAATACCTATGGTAATTAACGTGGACTGCCGGTCGCGCTTAACCCCTCCTTTGCCTGCAAACTATTTTGGAAACTGCGTAATGGCCCGTCTAGCACTTGCAGAAAGAAAAGGACTCCTGGGAGAAGACGGGTTGGTTGTAGCGGTAAATGCGATTAGTGAAGCCATTAAGGGTTTGGATGACGGGAGTCTGATGAATGGCGCGGAGAATCTCGTTTCCAGTTTGTACCCTTCTGATGAACAGATACAGACTAGTAGTGGTGCTGGTCATCAGAGAACATTTACAACCGCTGGATCGCATCGGTTTGACATGTATGATACTGATTTTGGATGGGGAAGGCCAAGGAGCACCGAAGTGGTTCGGATGCATACAGTCGGAACAATGACTTTTGCAGATGGTAAGAACGGCGGCGGAGCTGTTGACATCGGGTTGGTTTTGAAAAAACATCATATGGATGCTTTTGCTTCTCTATTTGCAAAAGGTCTTGAAACCCTATGAAGTTTGAAGTCCCATTTCATATATATTCTGGTCAGCTCAAAAATTGTATGCTTCTTCATGATTAATCTTGTGATGTTTTTGGAGCAGGAAGCTCTATGTTTCTCGGATGAATTGGTATAAATAATGTTGCTAGAAAAAACTTCGGAAGACTTTGCACAAAACCAAGGACAGTGATCTTTACTTCCTTTAGTACTAATACCGCGTTTAGCAAGGCGCGAGTGAAACTTAGTCTCTTAGTCACATTTATTCTTAGTCCTGCCAGCACCAAATATGGCTAGTCTCAGCTAAGACAGTCCCTTTTAAGAAAGCGTAACAAACGGGGCCTTGAACTATTGACGTGAGAACAGCTTGCATTGCGCTTTGCATGCATGCTTGATTCTTGAAACTATGATCTGGGGAAAATTTGCAATGTCTCTCAAACTTAGAAGTCGATTCGGATTTTTCTCTTTGAACATTTAATTAGGTATATATTTTTTTCTTTTGGCAAAAAAATTGGTATATATTGAACTTTGGTAATAGTAGGGAGACTAAATTTGTAGATTAAATTTTATAAACTAAACGACATTCAAATTTAGTCTACCTAGCATTACTCATCGAACTTTCATAGACTTTTAAAACCTATTAATTTGCCAAATTGAAAGTCGAGAAGGAGAATCGGAAGAATGTCATAACCAAAATTTTCTCTATAATTTGATAGCTAATAATCGTTTATATTTGGGGATTTAAACTTGTAATTGTTAGCTTATTTTAGTTACACTCCTTGAAATTCGTTTTTAATTTTATCTTGTCCTTATAATTCAAAAGTTGTCACTTTACTCTCTGAAACTCAAAGATTGCTCCACTTTGCTCTTTAGAACTTGATCTGATTCCATTTTGTCCCATGAAGCTCAAACATTGTCATTTTACTCTATAAAACTCAAAAATTCGCTTCACATCATCTAATGTCACAAATCAATGTTACAAATCAATATCATGGTCTTCATCATGCTTAATCCAAGCCTTTTGGTCGGCAGCTGCTTGCGAGTTATATGACCTACGGGAAGGCCTTCTCTGCTTCCCACCACCGGCCGGCCCTAGCGGCACAGCAATCACATATTTTGGACAATTGAATTATTTCCAACCGATTTTACAAGTCTATTAATTAACGAAAATGAAATTGCACTTTACAACCCTCACCCTATCATGATGAGTAATAGTTTGTCTACTAGAACATATAGTAATCATATGCTAGAAGATTATAGTTACAATAACCTTTCTGGAGAATATCCCCGCTGCCACTTTCCCAACGCTATAAATCTTAATCGTCCTACTAACAACGTCCTAATCAATTAGCATTTCACTAGTTGTAGTTTGTATCGTCGCCTTGGTGCTCTGCGTGCTCAAGTCTTCCGCGTGCTTCTTCGATTCTTGGGACCTAATGAACTCCTGTATCCTTGCCTTTAATTCATTGTCTGGTATCAGCATGTCCGCGGTAAGATGTGATCGGTTGAATGGATCAGACTGCAAATCGCATGCAATAGATAAATTAGCAAGATAGGTGATGCGTTTCATAAAGATTACCCTATAAATTATCACACAAGGATTGATGACGCACGCTATCACTAAGAAGATGCCTTTGAATGACAGGCCGGTCTACCGTGATTCTTGAAGAAGGTAAGATAACTGGATCCTTCATTAAAGTGTACTGCAAGAAAGAAAATACATGTAACATAAGACGGTCCCAACATATCTACTTAGCCACTACACAAAAATGTACCTGAATTGGATCAAGGAATTCATCTGGTATATCCCCAAGAGTAGCTTCAGTGTCCATGGCCTCCGAAGCAGCAACCTTTGCTTTCGCACCTAACTCGATAAACTCTTGTATGATCCTCCCATCTTCACCAATTTTCCTTAGGACATCCGCCGCAGCACTAAACAACTGAAGCAACGTAGAATTGTGTCAGGTAGTGTCCAAGTCAAACATAAAGATAGAAGTTAAAAGTAACGCTTTGACTCATCTGAATTACCTGTTCATTGTACGACCGACCATCCTTTGAGATGGCAGCTGGAAATATATTTTCTGAATCACCCTTTGCCAAATGAACATATATGTATACAATCTTTAAACAAAACAAAAAAAAAAAAAAAAAAAAAAAGAAGTCAGGCTGGGCAGATTTTGATTCAGTCATACAAAAATAACTATATATAAACAGATAATTTCAACTGCATGTCATCCACCAAGCAAAAATCACATTAGTATGCCAACCTGCTTAAGCAATTGCTTTGGACGGAATTCATATTTCTCAGGGTCTTTCAAACTAAGCGATCTTCTTTGAGGGCCTACTAATTGCAACAAAAAGTAATTGAGCATGCTGGCCACCCTTTCAACCTGGACAGAAAATCAAATAACAAAGCTGTTCAGAATATACTAAGAAGATAAACCATGTGGAAACTTTTGGATTTAGCAACCAAACTATCACTTCAGAGCGATAAGCATGCATGTGTGAGAGATTGAAAGAGATGTTTATACCATCTCAGGAAGTAGAAAAGGAGCTGTAATCTGTTCTGTAGTAAATGCCAGCATACTAACGTCTTCATTTGCTAATTTCATATCTATTCGGATAATCTGCAAGTACCAAGCATTCATTTGGTTAGGTACTAACTTCCAAACAAACACTATTAACGGGTTTTGTTTGAGTGGGGGGAAGATGAAACAGACATTCTCTTGAGAATGGAATAGGCGGGTTCTCTCCTCCCTTTCTTGAGCAGGTCTGCGCTCCCATTCTGCAGTGTTTGACATCTCAGCTTCCAGTTCTTTGAGTTCAAGAATTTTGTTAAGACTTTCATCCAGAAGATAGATGCTATCATTGATCAAAAAGTTTAAGAAATTCAAGTAAACACCCTTCTCCTCTTCCTTAGCAATCTGGAGCAATATAAATGTTATTGCAGTCAAGGGCACATGCCATAAAGAAACCAGAGTGCAGAATTTACAGAACTTAGAATCACCACAGAAAGTTCAACCGTATTTCCATTAAAGTACTGTACCTGTTTCCAAGCATTTCGATGACTAGGGACATGCCACAGATATTCAAGAAGTTCAGCAATGTTGTGACGAATATTAAACTTGTCATAGAACTGCACAATTGGAAAACAAACACGCCAATTTAAAAAAAAACAAAGAAATTGAGAATGCAAAATATAGTTAGATGAATGTCCTTCGATATCACACACACATGTTCATAAGAGCACCCACCTGTGTGTGAGAGCCAGTGAACTCGATGTCAACATATAGCTTCAAGAGATTCCTCACAAGATACTCAAGAGATAGTTGGTGCCCTTCAAATAGGGTCGCTGTAGCAGATGATCCACTGCAGATGCAATGCAAAATCTTATAAATTCCCAATTTTCATCATCAAATCAAAGGATGTAATATAAAATGGCGAAGTTAAACCACCTTCTACGGGGCATCCAGCAGTTTAGGACTTCAACCATCTTTGCCCTTAGATAAGGGTTCCTAATATATTCTGGACTTGCCATAAACATTATAATGAAGTTCATAAAATCATCCTGCAAAGCAAAAGTACAAAATTAATAACACATGAAGATAAGACTACAGGAAGTATGAAGAGAATAATTTATGATAAAAGTCATTTAATAAAAATTCTACCAACAAAACCCCATCCAAGGCTTTTGGAATCCGGGAAGCAAATATAAGCAACTCCATGGCATCTTCCACAAAATGCTCCGGCATAGAAGCAAACTCCGTAGGGCAAGTTGATGGCAGAGGCATTTTAAATCCACCAACCAAGCGAACTAGCCACACCACCATCAAACGGTAGAAAGTAAGAGCACTCTGTATAAGTGTCGGATCCTGAAGGAAAAGAAAAAAACAAATATAAGGACCAGTAGTGGCTCCAAACAAGAACCCCATTGAAGAAAGAACGGTTAAAAATATCTAACCATAGAATAGGCATAGACAGACTTCCTACAAAGTTGATGCAAATGCCAGAGACTAGAATGGCCACCTAACAAATCATTCAGCTTCAATATGACTAGCAACTTAGTTCGACCCTCGACAACCATACGAAAATAGATACAAGCTCAAGTCTAATAGGTTATGATACCAACCTCGTAAGAGCTATTCAAAAGTATACATGACCCAACTAAGTGCAAATAACCACACAAGCTCGTGCACACACACAGTTCGGACATACCCTTAATATCTGAGCTTCGTAACAAAGCTTTTCCTGCGAATACGACTCTATTTCCTTCTCAAGGCGAGCTATATCCATCTCCAATTGTGGAGAAGATGTCTGGCCTTGCATGGCTTTAAGTGTGGAAAGAGTATCTTCAGACCTTGAAATGTCCTGGATTGAGTATTTTCCATATATAAATGTTCCACACTTCAATTACAGATAACAATTTACACAGTTCATGAAGTATATGAAAATCTTAAATCATAAAAATAACATGCATGTGGTATTTGATGTCTTCCAATAAAGGATACCTCAGTTACCTGTACTAAATGTTTAAAGTCAGAAAATGCTTTCAGCAACCCCAGATTGAGCACCCTTGCAGTCATGAAGAAGCATTCACAAATAAATGAATATTTAGCTCTTTCACTGCTTGGCTTCACGTTGACACTATTACTGGAACTGGTGGCTTCTTGAGATTGTAAAAGGCGATTTTCACCATCATTACTCCCCATATTAGCTTTATTAATCCATTCAGTTACTTCTTCAGATGATGCATGTAAAGCAGTCAAACCTCTAATGTAGGTCGAGAAACAATGGTTAGCATGCAGAACTCAAGAAGGAAAACTTATGTCTACTGATAAAAAAATCCTCACCTTAACTCCAAACGGTTACTGTAAAATACATATTTTGGATCAATTTTGTCCCTTTTTGTTAAATTTGCATCCAAAAACGGTTCACAAAGCCGAAGCATGACAGCACTGAGATTGACAAACATGCCTGAACTTGCACATGAAAGAGGATCCACCTATGACCATAGTACCAAATCACTGGATGTTCATAACATAAGAATCCAAAGATTCCTTACTAAAAAGTTGATACCAGTTATCAATATAAAAAAGGTTTCAATTAAGATTAAACTCAATAATTGT